AACAGGTTGTATTGGCTATCAAAAGCAACAGCAGACGCACCGAGAAACGTTAATTCTAGCGAGTTATTAACAAAAGAGAAAATCGACGGGGAGAATCGACCATCGCGTTTACGTCCTTATGCATGGTCACTGTTGAATTATCTGCGGCACGCTTCTCTATTCATTCTAATCGGCAGAATTCTAGATAAACATTTCAAAAGGTCCTATCTGCATTGATCGATTCTCTTCATCGACTTTCTTTTTCGTCAATAACTCAGCTGAAAAACCTTTCCCTGTTGTATTTGACGATTTGGACGCTAGATAAGAACCTCCTTTAACAAACTCTGTGGTAAAGGGTGATACGGTCAAAATTTGGTCAATATCAACTTGACGTATTTCTTTCAATTTTGCATTTAAAAAACCTGAACACCCCTCATTTTGAAGGTGTGTGTGTGTAGAATGTTGCTCCTATTTTGATTTTGGAATTCACTCTTCAGTTGTCAAAATGCCGTCCAAGCAAGAAGAGCAGCGTATCAAAATTTTGCTCGCGCATCGCGAAAATCCGAGCTACTCGCACGCAAAGTTGGCAAAATCGCTAAAAGTTGCCAAATCAACCGTTACAAATGTAATTAAAGTGTTTGGGGAACGTTTGTCGACAGCCAGGAAGTCTGGATCGGGGGGAAATCGAAAACCGGAAGCCGCTGAGACGACAAAGAGAGTTGCCGGTAGTTTCAAGCGAAACCCTAACCTCTCTCTCCGAGATGCCGCAAATAAGCTGGGTGTATCGTCTACAACCGTGCATCGAGCCAAAAAACGAGCCGGACTATCGACTTACAAGAAGGTAGTGACTCCAAATCGCGATGATAAACAAAATACGACGGCCAAAGCGCGATCCCGGAGGCTGTACACGACGATGCTGACGAAGTTTGACTGCGTGGTAATGGACGACGAAACCTACGTCAAAGCCGACTACAAGCAGCTTCAGGGACAGGAGTTTTATACGGCAAAAGGAAGGGGAAAGGTAGCAGAGGTTTTCAAGCACATGAAACTGTCAAAGTTCGCAAAGAAATATCTGGTTTGGAAAGCCATCTGTACCTGTGGCTTGAAAAGCAGCATTTTCATAGCTTCCGGGACTGTCAACCAAGAAATTTACGTGAAAGAGTGTTTGAATAAACGTCTGCTGCCTTTCCTGAAGAAACACGGTTGTTCCGTACTGTTTTGGCCGGATTTGGCATCTTGCCATTACGGTAAAAAGGCCATGGAGTGGTACGCCGCCAACAACCTGCAGGTGGTTCCCAAGGACAAGAACCCTCCCAACACGCCAGAGCTCCGCCCAATTGAGAAATACTGGGCTATTGTCAAGCGGAACCTAAAGAAGACCAAAAAACCTGCTAAGGGCGAGCAGCAGTTCAAGGCAAACTGGCTTTCTGCGGCGAAGAAGGTGGACAAGGTGGCTGTACAAAATCTGATGGCAGGGGTCAAGCGTAAGGCCCGGCAATTCGGATTTGGAAAAGCGGAAGCCTAACTGAATATTTGTCCTGAATTTTATACTGATTGAACTTGAAAAAGAAATTTAATTTGATTTTTTAAATAAACGATTTCACCAATTTACACGCGTTTTCCCTTGACCAAATTTTGACCGTATCACCCTTTAGAATTAGAGCGAAATCTGTTGGCATGGCAGTGGTTATGCAAAGAGAAAGTCGATGAAGAGAATCGATCAAAGCAGATATGACCATTTGAAATGTTCAAAACGGGTTGAAAACGTTTTTATAACGCTTCAAACTACTCAGCCGATTGTAACTTTTGTCGGCAGCCTCTTTTTCTTCGAAAACTTTTTGAAGTGGGTGTTAATCAGCTGTTCTATTGTCGGCAACTAGAAATCAGCCGTGCGTATGTCTCATTTGAAGAAAAACCCAGCATAACAGGTTTGCTCAGTCGTTAAAAGGTTATCAGATTGAAGCTGAAAGACTAAGGAATCGTTTAAATGCAGTCAGCGAAGTTTTTTTTGGCGAGAAAATACAGCGAAATTAACGCTTAAACTTAGGTTGCCGCAAACAGTCAATGGGTGCCGAAGCTATCATTTGAAGTGAATAGAAGTTACCAGTTTTTGAATTAAAATGCCTGCTTTTTACCGAACAGTTCAGTTGTAGAAAGCTCGGTAAAAATTACCGAAGACGTTAACCCCCTTTCGAAGTGTGTAAGGAGGAGTTACCTTCCATGCATACGATAGGTATATTGGTTGAAGATTTTAATTAAAACTTTGGCTAACCGGCTAGACTTCTTGTAGCTTAGCAAACGCAAATATTCAGTAGCATCAAAGATGTTCCTTCTGTATGTTTCACTGTCTGTTTATGTTGGCTTTTTAACTGTAATTGAAAATGATGAGCAATATCAACACAAGATGTTGATGAATACGAAAGCTTTCGCTGGTCATGAATCGTGGACCTTTGGGAGACTTAGGAGCGTAATAAAACATAGCAGTAACATCTTGAAAGTGGCATCTGGCGTAGTTGCATGAATCACAAGTTTTATCAAGTAAAGGGGTGGAGGAACTAAGGCAATTTAGATATTGAAAAATGAATAAACATTCTTAATTCAGGAAATACCTCAAATCCCCTCACCCGTAAAGTGAGCTAGTCAAAGGAGTGCGCATTTGATTAGTATTGTCGCATCAATAACCCTTTGTTCAATTTCAACTTCTGTTCAATTTTCACACTGCCGTACTCTAGCGGAACTATCAATCTATCCTCCTCAGGACTTTCTCTAGCTAATAAATCATATAACTAAAGCTTCATGTTGATATTTGTACAGCATTTTCTCCCAATTCAATAATACACCAATACCTAAGGGCAAGACAGCTTTCAATCATGAGTAATTTTTGAGCAAATCTTGAGTAACTCTGAGTTACTCGCGGTGCTCAATAATGAATACCGTTGTCAAAATGAAAATTTGTATCGCAGCAACTCAGTTGAACAGGTTTCTCTCCGTATTTACATATGTGTAGTTCTGCTAAAGCAAAAATAATCAACAGAATAGTTCTTGATGAGAACTTGAAGAAAAATATGGGTTTTAATGCGGGTACAACTTATTGAAGATATAAGTTATGACTTTCGCATGTAATAATCATTTCTATATATCCATATTATAGTTGATGAAGTTCATTTGATCGATGTTGAAACATAGACAAACGTTTTAAGCTTACATCAGTATCTATACATAAAATAAATTGATTTACCAAGAGGATTGAACGGGGTGGGCTTTTACATTCCAGTTTCACGGCAAAAAAAGACTGCTATATGCATGGACCAACCACAACGTCCATTGGCTCTTCCATCAGACAATTCAATAGGAGGTGTTTGTTTCGCATCAACTAACTAAGTACTCGGTACTCGTACATACATAGCCCTTTATTTATCACACCAAAACATGCAATAAAAGGTTTGTTAAGCTTATCACTCATTTGTATTTGACTTAAACTAGGAACAACGTAATGAATTAAAATGCCGTCGTGGGTCTCCTGCCCGTGCAATACAGTGACCTGGTTGAGGTGGACTGATCATTGAACCGCACGACCGTTTCAGGTAGTTCAGTCCTCCATTTTTCGGCTAGTGAGAGCGGGTGAAATCTGTTCATAATGATTGACGCTAGTGTCTTTGTAAATATGACAGTATGGAAAAAATAAACTTGAGGTTACTTAGTTATTTTTTGAGTAAATACGAGTAACTCAGAGTTACTTAATGTAAATATATTAGCTCAGAGTATAGCTGACTTGCCCCTAGACCAATACCATCCATTTAAAAAAAGTTCAAGCTTCTGATCGGCTATTTTTTCTAAGCTGAACCACTGTGCTTCGGGCGGATGGAAAATTTTGAGAAAAACAAAGGATGCCGTCCACCTGCGTCTCTATCTTCGTACAACAGGGTCAGAAGTTGGGCATGATGAAATTTTCCATTCGTTGATATTCAACGATGCAATCGATTAATGTTTATGAAATGTTGTTGGATTTAATTCGCAGCGTTCTTCTAGTCTTCCTGGAAGGGACTGAACAGATTTGACACTTTGTCGCATACCGTGTTCATGGAATTTCACTGGCACAGAATCTATGAAGTTGTGTGAACAGAGATAGTTCTTATGTTGCATATGATTACATATTTGATGTGGTAGTAATAGGGCTGTTATAGGAAATGGCACATGTCGGTTGCATACTTTCATTCCAGGAAACAAATGGCAAAGCTGACAAAACCCAATCCTAGACACATCGGTGGAAATCTGTGAAGACAGAAGGGCTTGAGTACCGTACATATTGTGCAGTGGTATTGTTTGCTGACGGTATTATCAGGTTAAAAGTAGAGGAGGTGACATATTCAACTGTTTAGATGATGACATTTTCAGTGATCAATATAAGTAGAGTGCAAAAGATGGCATTCTATAGAATATTTTAGACATTGTGAAGAGTTATCTGTAAATGTAAGTACAATATTAAGTCTACACAATGAGATCTAGAACATTCATGTACTACACACAAAAACCTTCTCAAGGTTCATACCAAAATGTTCCTCCCATACAGGGTAGTTCACCGAGTGCCTCCATATTTTTATACAGTACAGCACCCAGAGTGGTACCGACATAAAACTACCCCACTTCATTTTCCTCCTCTACAAGAGTGAGCATTCTCGGAAGGATGGTTTGTACAGTGTAAATATATTATGCCATTTGCTTTACAACTTGACAAACAAACCTCAACGGTATCTAAGCTGAGTGCCTTCAAGTTACTGCCTCATACTGGACTGGATTCAAAGCAGACGCATGGAATTGTGTGATTTGAAACTGATCAGCGTTGAAAAATAAAAACTCTGTAGCATATTGACAGATTTATTGAGGATGACTTGTATTCAATATCAATCGATGATGTTGTTGATCGAACTATTTTAACGAGATTCAATCTGCGGTATGTAATCATCGGTGGAAGCCCCTCCAATCTACTCCCTATCTTTTAAAAAAATAATGTCTTTACATACCTTCAACAGCCTCCGCAGTTAGCTCTCGTCGATTATTCCTCGCCTTCCCGTTGCTGTTAACACGATACGGTTTGACTATCCTCTCTTCCAGTAACGGTTGTAGTTTTCCAGGAAATTCGCTCGAAATTACTATCAGTCCCAGTTTCCCGGAAATACACACTCACAAGCCAACGCTTTATCCACTATCTATACTCTATCTACTTATCACGTTACACGCGAAATTGTTATCACTTAATCACCCGTGAACGTTTGACACTTTCCAGCGAGCAAACAAACGCAGGACAAAATCACACTCCACGTTTTATGCTTACTCACTATTTCACCGAGCGTATCCTCTAGCCACTATCAGATATCGTTTTTCATCGACTGGTATCACTACTTGTTGCGCGCTGTTTAGAGCTTCCCCGCCCAGCCTTGAAAAGAGTAGTACGAACTGCACACAAACACACACACATCGAACGATGGTCGACGGACGGCAGAAATCGGAATATGGCAGGCGCCCTCCTACTGTATCCTATCGTTTTATGCTACTACACTCGTAATCACACTTGGATGACGACGCTCAGACTATCTCTTCCGTTTTCCGGTATTTGGGTGCTGATGACGGGTGTCAACCGAGGGAAAACCGGTGGTGGTGGGAAAGCTTGACTACTGCTCCTAAACAAGGCCCGACAACGAATGATAGCGGAGCTGCTGATCGCTTTCCCATTTATAACACAGCAACTTTTGCCCGAGAGGGAGAAGATGATCTCTCTTCGCTCCGGATGGAGATAAAGGCGCGCTTCCGATGTTGATGAGCGCGGGAGAAAGTTGTACTCATGAAGCTCCAAAAGTCCGACCCACCCACCCCAGTAGGCAGTGGCGAAAAGGATGCTGAGCAGCAAATTCGCTCTCTACTGCACTACTCTCAGAAGGCCAAAGCGGTCGCGAGATGCGAACATACGGATGACGGGTGGAAAGTTGAATATAATTTGAAAATAATTTAAGCGGCGATCCCGCCACCGACTGAGATTTACATCTGGGCGTGCATTAGCGGAGCGGAGCAATGTATGCGTTGACATGAGAGAGACAATTATTAGTACTTTTCTCCCTCTCGTACCTTCGCAAAATCTCGCCCCGCGCGTGAAATATCGCTCAGGACGGAATCTACCTCACCCCGCGTACCCACTCATGTCTGAATTGGCTTTAATGGGAGACTGATTGACCGCCTGTCGGCTGGAAGTTGAGGGTGTTAGCCTGAACCCGATGTTAATGTTTCCCGCGGGATTTTTTTTTCTGTTAGTGGCAACACGCGGATGGTGTAAAATCCGAACAACGGCTGACTATAAGATTTTAGATGAACCGTGTTTTACCACTTGGGAATGTCGTAAGAGCGATTGATGCTATCTAACTTTAAGGTAACCGATGTACATAGCCTAGCCGAGGTAAGAAAATGAAAAGCTGAGGAGCAACATTTGCGTTATGAAAACTTTTCGGAAAAATGTCTACAACCGAACGCCCTTCAAACGTGGGTCATGACGTTTTGGGTGTGATTTAAGCATGCATTTTCTCGAAAACTTATGAACCAAATTGACATGACATCCCATATAAACCATGATTTGTTTTAGTTTTGCCAGTTGACTGATTTCAAAAATAGTCTATAGAACTATAGTACCTTTCATTTAATGCTTGTTGCAGGAGTCACTGAAACTAGTGCATTGAGAATGGCCGGTCACTCCCAGCCACATTCATTTGATTTATTGTATAATTCCACTGGTTCAGATCAATCACGGAGTAGCAACCATTGCACAGTGGTCAGAAGTGGCAAAACCATGAACCTAATTGAATTGTGTATAAACTATTGACTTAATCAAAAAAGCGTCTTAAGAGGAATTAGTCACATAAGTATCTTTCACAATCCTAGAATTAAAAAAAATATATCATGGCCATTAAAAACCTTAATTTTCCTCTAAAGATATAGAAGGATACTGTCTTCCTCATTGTTCTTCATCAGCAGTTCTTTCAGTCGATGCGTCGTCGACTTTGGAAAGCAACCGTTTCGTGATGAGTGTGTGTTTGCTGACCATGTTTTGCGTTCATTGCTGCAATGGAAGCGCTCTGTCCCCCGGTTGGTGAAACTGCCATTCAATGAAACCACTGGAAGCGGCTCCCGGAGGCTTATTGGATAGCGGAAGATAAAGTGTTTATTTTGCTGTACCTTTTAACTATAGTTTTTTTTAATACATAGTAAACAAGAATCCTCGGCTCTGTAAAGATAATTCTATTGAGCCTTATCAAAAAAAATCCATAGCAAAACAATATAGTGGTTCCCAGAATTTCATAAAATTTGGTAGTTTTGATCCTTGTCGCAAAATATTAGACCCATACTTCTTTTAGTTTATAATTTCCATGTTAGGGTGATCCAAAAAATCGTTTTTTTCTTCAAAAATGACTCTTAAAATGACGGGTTTTCACTAAATACTCCTAGTTGCATGGGAGTATTTAGTGAAAACCCGTCATTTTAAGAGTCATTTTTGAAGAAAAACTACCATGCGTCTCCATTGATTTAAAGTGACTGTAACATGGTCACATTATCTATTCTTATTTTAATTTCTGGTCCTAGACTACCATGACATTCATAGAGGCTTAAATAAAAAAAAAACCAAAACTTGATTTTGTAAAAACAATGCACTTTGCGCACACAAACTTGTTGAGCACTAAGTAAACAACAACACACATCGATGAACAGGTGATAAACGTCATCCGAGTACTTATACTTTCTGGTACACCCAATGGTAGAGTTTTACAATACACTGATTTCAATGGAGAAAGCTGCAATATCATAAGAAAAAAACCCGAATTTATCCACCTATGGTGTGATCAGACCCTTCTTACTTATTCAAGTTTATTTATTTTATTGTCATTATCAGTGACCGAGCCCCCCACCCCCGTGTCATCCAGTGACGCTACGCCACTGCCTGGGGGTACCCGGAATATATCCGGGTGTAGTCTATTTGGTGAGGCTACCAATCACCTTATCATCGTATTTTAATGTGATGTAATGGGTTTTAATTCAATTCATATTCAAGCAACTTCCCCGGGGTACCCGGAACATGTCCAAGTGTGTCCAATATGGTCTGGAACACTTAACACGACTTGCATTGATCTTATTTTTGAATTCTGTAGTAATTTGATGTGTCGCATGGTGGTTTTGATACGTTTTCCGTTAAATCCAGCGTGAAGGCCCATATTCACCGGATCTTATTCCGGCCATATCTCCGGAACCGGTTCACCGATTCCAAAACCGTTCAATAGCGTTCAATGGGACCCCAAGACCTATCATTTGGCGCCGAGTTTGTCCAAATCGGTTGAGCGGTTGCTGAGAAACGTGAGCGCATTCATTTCGTTACATACACACACACATACACACATACACACATACACACGTACACACACACACACACACACACACACACACACACACACACACACACACACACACACACACACACACACACACACACACACACACACACACACACACACACACACACACACACACACACACACACACACACACACACACACACACACACACACACACACACACACACACGCACACACACACACAGACATGTTCCGATCTCGTCGAGCTGAGTCGAATGGTATATGACACTCGGCCCTCCGGGCTTCGGATCGATAGTCGGTTTTTCAAGTGATATCTATACCCTTCTTTGTAAGAAGGGTAAAAATTGCATCAATATGATTCAACAAATAAGTGATTATTCAAAAGAATGGATTGAGTTACCGAAAGTATTAAAATTTGGGAATGAAAATCGAACTTCAAACAATTATTATGAGCTTGAGCTTGAGCTTGAGCTTGATTGACCGCCCACGGTTGCTACTCTGTTATTGCCAGATCAGCTGTAATTACACAGAGAACCAATAGACGATGCTTGGGACTAGCAATCATCCTCAATGTGTAAAAACTGGTGATCTTAAATTAGGCAATACCAGCGCCGGCCGCGCCCGAACACAGGTCAAGAAAGGAATGGGAAGGATTGTGTTGACATGACACTCGCTTTGATGGAAGCCGAGAACACCTCTGCACTTCCACGAGGAATCACTGGGATGTTGGATAAGAGGGTTGGGTTTGCAGCAGGGTTCGTTTTGGTAAACGATAAGCTGAATTGATGTCCTAACGATCATATAACGCGAAGGAGCTTGGGACTAAACCCACGGTCTTCTGCTCAGTAAGCAAAAACGTTTGCCACTAGGCAGACGAGCACCTTTTTAATCACCGAGTTGCTGTTATTACCATGTAGTCATATTAACAAATAAAACGATTGACGAATCTTGAATGTGGATGGGCCTGAGATTAGACTCATGATGTTCTGCTCAGTAAGCAAAAACGGTTGCTCTAAGGCCACCGAGCCCCTCATGTCACATAATACCGTTGCTCAAATTTTTGTATCCATTCAAACCCGGAACCAACGACAACAACGAGTTTCGCAAAATACACGATACACAAGCGATTTTACCATAAATCTCTTTGATATGTAAGGACCTGGGACCGCGTTTTTCTGCTCAGTAAGCAGGCCACTGTAACCGACGATCTTTCAAATCCGAAAACTAAAAACTACGAAAAAGTACTTAGGCCTTCATTAAGTTCCACTTTCACGCGACGTTCAATGTTTCAATTTGCTCTTTACGTATTGTTCAGGCTATAAATAGGCTCTTTTCAAAAGTTACGCGAGAAATACGCATAATCGTCGCCTACCTCGCAAAACTGGTTCCAAACGACAACAAAGGCATAAGCAACGATGGATTGTTGAACTTTGCTGGCTGGTGTAGTGCTGCTGAAAAAAGATAAGTCTATTATTTTGGTTAGTGATCGTTTGGATTTGGGTCACCCCACGTTGTGTTTAGGTTAGTATAAATAAATAATACTATTTAGTCATATAAATCACCACAGCTCATTATCTTCAGCGTTATCGGTTTTCAGTTCTGGATCTTTAGTTGCCTCTGTGATATACTTACTTGCGGCATACTATTTTGGGAGTGTATATGAGCGTGTACCATGTACGGTAGCTCATCTCTCATCGTGATGGGGGGACATAGTAGACAAATTAGAGAGAAAACAAGGAGGTATTAGTATTAGTTATATGTAAACAAACAAAACAAAAGAAGAGAAGAGGAAAGAAGAGCAGAAAAATAAAAAGGGGATAAAGTAGATAACAATGGAAAGAAACGTAGGCAGATTATTAGAAAAGGCATTATCCGAGACCTCAATCAAATGTCACTCCCGCCGAGATCTCAGCGAAACCCCCTTCCCGCCGAGACCCGCACAGCCGAGCTCGGTAGAAAAAAAAACTAAGTGTGTAGATAGATTAGTAGGAAAATAAATAAAACTACTTTATGACTCAAAGTGCAATGAATGAGCGTTAGTTTCGGGATCATTTCAGTGTTAGAGTTATGTTAGTTTTGATCCGTAATCAGCCGTGCTGACCCCTCCAACATTAGTTGCAGGCAGTGGTTGTTAGATAATGCGGCACTGTAACTACTACTATTTTAGAGGTATGATTCGTCAAGTTTATACAACTCAATGTTTCAATT